CAGCCCTTCCCTCTGACCCTCACCCCTCACAGCACTGACTCCTCCCCTCCCCTCCACAGCACTGACTCCCCCCTCCCCTCCACCACTGACTCCTCCCCTCCCCCTCCCCCTCCACAGCACTGACTCACCCCCCCCCCCTCCTCGGTACATCTGACTCCCCCCTAATCGTACATCTGACTCCCGTATCGAATATCCTGAAGCAGCTTCGTTTATCGTTCTGGCTACAGATAACAAGAACAAATGCGCTTGCTAAACACTCTGCCCTTCCCCCCCCCCTTCCCCCCTTCCCCCCTTCCCCCTTCCCTTTTCTTCCCTTCTCACTACCCCTCCCTCTCTCCCTTCCTCCCTGTTGCTAGCTTGCTCCCTTCTTTTGTTTTTTTATTTCTACTCTTATCACCTCCTCTCTCCTTCTCTTTTTCCCTGCTCCTCTCTCTCTCTCTCTCTCTTCTCTATCTCTATCTATGTCTATCTATCTATCTTCCTCTCTCTTTCCCCTCCCTATCCCTACATTCCTTCTTTTTATCTATCTCACCCCCCTCATCAACACTCCCCCTACATTTATCCCCTCTCTTTACCTCCTCCTTCCTTCCCCTACCACTTCCCCTCTTCATCTCGCCCTCTCTCCTCCCCCTCCCCCTCCCCCTCCTCTCCTGCACCTGTTCAATGGCAGCTGTAACGCTTGTTAACTCGCTGTTGAACAAGGGAAATACAGTGGGTCATCCATGTTCATTTTGTCTTACTTGAGTATGGGGAGGAAGCATAGGGAGGGGGAGGGGGAGGGGAAGGAAGGGACGGGGGGGAGGAGGGAAGGAAGGGGCGGGTGGAGAGGAGGAGGGGATGGGGGGACGGGGGGAGAGGAGAAGGGATATGGGGGGGAAGGGAGGGTGGAGAGGAGGAGGGATGGGGGGGGAGGAAGGAAGGGACGAACAGGGAGGATGCAGGGGGAGTGAGAGAGGGAGGGAGGGAGGGACTGAGATGATGTGGGAGGGAGGAAGGGTAGGAAAAGGAGGAGCAGGAGGAGAGGGGGAGGAAGTGTAATAATAATAATACGAATGATAATGATAATATCATAAAAATGATTATGATAATTAATGATACTGATAATGCTAATAACATGTGTGCTGATAGACTAATGTTAGTGATAGTAAAAGCAACAAAGGCAACAAAGATAACAATAATCATAATAATAAATAACGAGAGTTGAAAACAAGGAAAAAAAGGAGTAGGAGAAGGAGGAAGGAGAGAAGAAACAAGAGAAGAGACAGGAAAAAGGAAAATATGATAACATAAGAAAGCTTTGGTATCATGGCAAACGATGAAAGGTTGCAATTACACACACAAACAAAGAAAAAAAAATGTGAAAGAGATTATCTAATAAGGAAATGGCAGCAGCAACAAAATGAAAAAAACAAAAATAACAATAAAAACGTAATGATAATGATGAAGATGCCAATAAAAATAATGATGATAATGATGATAATTGATGATGATAACAACAATTAAGATAATAATAATGATAACGATAATCATCATAATGATAATGATCAAAATAACAGCAGCAACAACAATAATAATGATACGTTTAAACAAATAAAGAACATGAGGAATAAACAGATAATTAAAAAAATATATATATAAAGATAGAAAATAAAAAAAATAAGAAAAATAACGATAAGGAAAATAAGAACAAAAAACATTTTTACGATAAACAAAATAAACAAAGGAAAGAAAGAAAGAAACAAAGCAGGGAAAGAAAATTGAAAAAGCAAATGTCAAATGACTTTGCGCCGAACATCTGTAGTTGGCAAGTTTGCAGTGGCAGAGGAAGTGAGGGGATATTGATGGTGTGATGGTGAGGCACATATGCACTGTAAGCTCTTCCTGGGAGGTGGTGAGTGCGTGTGTTTGTTTGTTTGTTTGTTAGATTTTTATTTATTATTTATTTATTTATTTTTTTATTTATTTCTATTTTATTTATTTTTATTTTATTTATTTTGTGTGTGTTTATTTGTTTGTTAGATTTTTATTAATTTATCTATTTATTTTCTTTCTTTGTTTACTTTTATTCATTACTTATTAATTTATTTATCAATATTTTTTTTGTTTTTTGTGTGTGTATATATGAACTTATAGATATAAACGCACGTGTAATGATACGATAATAAGGATGATGATGAATTGGACTGGTGATGATGATGATGATAGTGACGAAGATAATAATAATGATAAAAATAATAATGATGATAATAATACCCAAGCAATAATGCCAAATAACAAAGAGACAGACACCAATACAAAAAAAAAAAGAAAAAAACATCAACACAGCAATAAAACAACCAAAGAGGAGTCCTGCAAGCAAAACCTGGCCCCCCTCCGCCCCTCCCCCCGACCGTGGATGCAAGAACTACAAGCCCTGATGCAACGTTGAATAATCAGGCTCTATGACAGATGAGCAGAGATGGAAACACCTGTCTTGTCTGCCAGGGTCGTCATGATGCTACCTGAATATACAGACAACTGTCTATGACACTAAATGATTTATATGGATGTGTGTACTGTAGGTCTGTGTTTGTGTGGTGCGGGCTCCGTATAAGTAGATATGTGTGTGGATGTTTACCTACACGCGTACGTCACAGGCTCAGATTTCATACATGCATTTACATTTATAACATCCTATATATATGTATGTTAATCTGTTATCTAA